ATTAGTCAAACATAATTTGCCTAGTACCTCTTCCACAGACGGGTCATTCATAATTTTAAGGGTCAAATCGAGTACAGGCAATTCGCGGTGCTTGATAGCAACTTTCTCAGCAATCTCTGCATCTTTGATAGCTTGTCTCTGCCTGGCCAATCGACCTCTGCACTTCTTGTGAGGACGACCAGGCTTCTGAAACAGAGCAGTTGAGAGCAGCAAAAACTTTGGAAGCAAATCTCACTTTTACGTTGCCGCCATCAGAGATACCATTTGCTGTAGGAGGTGGAGGAGCAGGTGTTATCAGCTCCCTTATACTGTCTTCTGTAGTACTGTCTGTTGATACCACATCAACAAAAATATTTTCCTCGTCTTCCTCCTTCTGTTTGAGCAGACGTTTGCGATTGAAATTCTGAACGATTCTCAACGAGTTAGTAAGCAAAGGTTGGATTTTTCATTGCACGCTATAGTGCCTTGTCGGAAATGAAGAACAATTCCACGTAACGTTATGCAAGATTTAGGCTTAGGTCACCTTTAGCTCCTCCTCTGACCATTGTGGAATCCGATGTGGTGAGATCTGATCAATGGTGCAGAATCGAGCCGGAAATCTCTGTCGCTTCTATAATAGGCAGCATTTTGCTCAAGTGATAGAAAATAAACAGTGTTGAATCTACCCGAGTTTTTCCTGATGCAGATTCGGTTCCAGATGCTTTCGGTTTGGATCGCCTTATACGCCTAGCGTCATCGTTACTCTAAAAAAGAAACTCTTTGATAATGAGATTGATCATAGCATGATGAACCGCCAAACTTTTGTCGGACTACCTTGTCATTCTAAACTGAATAAGGGATGTAGGTCTAAATTGACAGAGTAAACTGACAGACGTAGAAGTGATAGAACTCCAGATAAGCATACTAGATCTTAAGCACAAAAAGTCAAAAAAATTCTACTCACTACATTGCAAGCATCTGTTCCAGATTCCCCTTCCTGAGTTTTGTTATAGGAAGCGGGAGGTGCTCGTAACCTCTTCCACTGGTCTTCTCTTTCACCACTTCTACCCATCGAATGCATCACATACACTCTACCAGCCGTAGGTTCCTTGTACCTTGGTTTACCCAGTATTATAGTGCCATCTGGAAGTTTGAAACCTCTCCGCAGTCTCCCGTGTTCATCTCTGAGCAAAACGCCTCGTCTCTGGTTTTTGACTGGAGATGATGAGGAAGCAGAATTCTGTTCGGATGCATGGTCCCCGCTTCGGGCAGGAACGCCTGGATTCTCATCTGTAGATTGTGAAGCAAGGCTACTGACAGTATTATCTTGAACGATCGAAGTCGAAGCATCACTGGTGTAAATGACCTGAGTGAGAGGCATTCCTTCATTATGGTCCTCTTCGTCATTATCGTCCAAGTCTGACACATTTTGTGCCGGTCTCCCACTTGAAGCACTTCTTCCATATATTGACCCTCGTGGTTGACGAACTCGTCCGCATGAGCGACTTCTCAGATACACATCGTTTCTGACACTATTCTGCATGGGTGATACATTTTCTGACAAGTGTTCCTGCAGATTGAGATGGGTATCCGAGCGGTAGATGAATCGGGGAAGCTGATCTAATCTGGAGTAACGTGGTCCTTGAGCTCGCACTCTAGCTTGAATCTTGGCGTAATTTGCGGATTCTCCCCGAGCTGAGGCGACCATTTCACGAAGAGAACGGGCAGGTCGACGGACATATCTAAAACTGTAGATAATTGTAGATCTGCAGTTCGTTACAGTACGTGACAGGCCACCTTGCAACATCCACTGAGTGAGGTATGGCCCTTTGGCTCCGTATATCATCAAGATTCACCACACATCGACCAGTCTCGGGATCAGTACTAGCCTAGAACGATGATGTTGCAAGCTAGGAAGTTAAATCAATGACAAATGGAACCTTGATCGTTCCATTTTGGATCATTCGTACAGCCTTCCTTCCTATTGAACGTTGATCTTTCAAGGTCCTGAAAGTCTTGATCTAAGAAACAAACTTTGATATTCTGTATATCCATGAATAGA